AAAAAACAACACGTAACTTGGGACAAAGTCTGAAATATTCATCGCTCTCTCACACACACGGCATTTGACAAAAAAAAAAAACAACAACAACATGCAAGACAGTTTTTGCCCTCGTTCTTTGCCGAAGTTAACGAAAGAAAAAGTCGCAGAGGGAATTAATTCGGCTTCTTCAGCCGTTGCAAGATTTTTTCCTTCGTCGAAAGTCCCGCAGAACTCACTGAGCCAGTGGGCGCCCCCGCTGATGTAGCCGCATCTTCGCGCCTTCGTTTGTGCGACTTGAGCTGCTCGAGGACGTATGCCTCGCGCTCCTCCATTTTTTGGCGCGACTCAGCTCCCACGGCGGACGCGTTAGACGCCTTTGCACCTTGGGGAATATTCTTGGTAGGTGCAGGATCGGCAGAACCCTCGGCACCACCCCTCCCTCCACCGTGGCCAAACACTTTAAATTGCAGGGCATGTCTCCGTTGCTCTCGCCAAGCAACTGGGTCTTTGCTCAGCTCTAACAAGTCCGGATTGACGTCGCTTAATGACCCATCCGTGTCAGTTCGACACATTCGCCCAAAACCAGCCCCTTCAGGCTTAGAAAAAAAAAAAATGATGATAGTTCACTTCCCTAACTTGCCCCCGCAACGCCACACCAGAACAAAAAAAACTCAAACCGAAAAAAAAATCACGCTGGACCAGGGGGTACTCGACAAATGGAGTCAGCGGTGGGACCCAGTTCGGACACAACGCCGTGCGCCCACACAACACCGCCGCGGAGCGAAGCGAAGCAGGAGAAGAGCGAGGGAGGGAAAAGGGCGATGGGCTCATTGTAACTATGACAATGTACAGTTTCGGATCATGAGGAGGTGTCACAGAAAGCATGAAAAGCTGAAATCATGGCGGCGGAGCACGCAGTGATACACACTTCAGTGTGGAGGACACAGTGAGCCACGCTGGACCAGGGGGCACTCGACAAATGGAGTCAGCGGTGGGACCCAGTTCGGACACAACGCCGTGCGCCCACACAGCACCGCCCGCGGAGCAAAGCGAAGCAGGAGAAGAGCGAGGGAGGGAAAAGGGCGATGGGCTCATTGTAACTATGACAATGTACAGTTTCGGATCATGAGGAGGTGTCACAGAAAGCATGAAAAGCTGAAATCATGGCGGCGGAGCACGAGTCGGCAATATCGCAGGCACAGGCGCAGAGCCATATTACATCATATACGTATATATATATGCTGTACGGCGCCCCATAAACTTGAGCAACTTTTTTTTTTCCTTTTGGCTGTGTGAACGGTGTGCACCTGGCACAAGGACGTCGGTGTGAGTTACGCGACCCGCCCGTTCCACTGGGCAGCAGCGGCGGCCGCACACACCGCCGCGAGTAGAATTCACATGACATACGATATGGAGGAAAAGTAGACGCTGGTGCGTACCATTTCCGCTTGGTTTTTTTTTCTGGTCACTCCCGCGGGGACCTTGTGTGTGGGTGTATGAAGCAACTAGGGTGGCCCTGGCGTAACCGACCACCTCACCGTGGTGCCGGGGTCCAGTACCCC